CCCTCCCCTCCCCCCGTCTGACCGCCGGAAAAGTCTCGCGGTGTCCGTACTACATAATTACTACTGATCACCATCGCGGATGAGCGGAGTTAGTTGGGCGAGGTGTGGAGGTGGAGGGCGGGCCGAATGTTTCGCCCTCTGGTCTTCTTCCTGCTCGGCGCGAGCTATTTGCGCGCATCGCACTGCCGCACTTCTTGCAGGTGCGTGTTGTTCCCCAACCCCACAACATACCGTTTCGTCGCCCCTCGCCCCATGCCCGTATCAGCGAACCACGCACATACCTGCAACAAGCACGGACCAAAAAAAACACTCGTTAGGAATTGGATTAGATCACGAGTGAGGTACACAAATCTTTTGTTCATTATGGGAGTTGGGAGATGGGGAGGGGGATAAAGTCAGATCGAGGGAGATTCAGCGGTGGTGGGGCGCAGCCCGGGCACTGCGTACTGGACTGGACCCGCGCCTGGGGGCATGAGGCAATTATGTACTGCAGGCACCAACCTTTGCCCGGGTCGGAGTGTTTTTGCGCCCGCGCCCGAGTTTATTCCTGGTCTTTGAGGCCGACACGCATGTCAACATATCCTGTGCGTGGCCGCTATGAGGCTTATGGGGCACGCGGCGGAACGAACGCTCTGTCTCCTCTCCTCCTCTCTCTGCTCCTCAGACACAACAAATCATAAGCAGGCCAGTGGCGCGTCGTCTGCTTGGACGCGCTCGCCGCGCCCGCGCTCCACCGCCCCGCCCTGCCGCCGCCGACACGCTCACGAGCCCAAAGATAAACTGCAGCTTGTCGTAGCGGGAAATCCCCGTGACTTCCCCCGCGCCCCGCCGCTCTGCCTGACAAGTGGGTCTCCCATACTACACAGGACGATTTGGAGAGTAAATTTTTTTTAAAAATGCCCATAAACGTTTGTGTGAATTGACCCGTTATGTTAATTTTCCTCCCTCTGATGTTTCAGTCTGTGTTCCGCCTCAACGTCTCCATCATCATCCCCCTTATCTCCGCCGCCGCCTCGCTGCCGTATTCATGGATGCCGATCGCGGCTCGTTTCCGCCCTGCGCAGTTGGCGGGGAGGATGCAATAATGATGACAAATATGTTGGGCGCTGACGTCCTCGCCCGCGCCGCACCTGGTGCCTGCGCCCGCTGCGCCCGCTGTCAACAAGCTGCGCTGATTACAATGACGAGCAGCGCATGCCGCGCGTCAAACCCGACACCAGCCGCCCGCGTCCCTTTTTGGCGAGCGTTTTCAGAGAAGCGCGCGTCGCAGCAGTAGCAGCTAACCACGCGCGTTTTCGTTGGACGCTGGCCGCCGCCTCCGTCGCTGTTTTGGGTGAGTCACCGGGGAGCTTCGGGCTATGAGGAGATAAAAGCTGCTTAGCAGGAGGACGGCGGCGCGGCGGTGGTGGGGCGCTGCCGCCGCGGCGTCACCGCCGTCACCTTGGTCACCGTGTGTCGTTCAACCGCGGGCCGTGTATTTGAACCCGGTTGAGCCTTGATCCAGGGCGCCCACTGGCTGCGCTTATCGGCCGAGGACGTGACCCATATGTTGGTGTTTATCCGGCCTAGATTGTGTGTCCTGCCTGCTGGCGCCACGTCCGCACGTGGCGCTGGGGCGGGGCCGGGCGGGGCGGGGGCCCTGCAGGCCTTGCACCGCACGATAACCCCCCGGCCCGAGCCACTCACCGGGCCTCCCGCCGGGCCTCCCGCCGGGCCTCCCGCACCATCAGGACCCGACCAGGCGCCACACGACGACTCGACCTCTTTATTTTTGCCTCGGTTCGTCATCGCATTTCCTGTTTTGTTTTCGACGGGTGTGTGTCTCTCACTTTCAGTCTCCCGTCGGAGTATGTATACACACTTTTAGCGACACCTCCCCTCCCATCATCGGCAGGACGTGTAGCCGCGCGGGTGCGACGGCTTGTCCGGGCCCATTGACACGGCCCCGCCCCGCCCCGCCGCCGGCTTCGAGAACACTCGGCAAGCTCAATCAATTAAAGCTCATGCAGTGTGTCTGTGGCCGGCGGTGCCCACGCACCCGGCGCTCTGGATACAACCGAACCCGGCTGGTTGTGAGCGGTGCGCGGGCGCAGCCAAGAGGCGCCCCGGCAGCGGCGCACTCGCTCGCCCGCCCGCTTGCACCATTTCCCATAGGCCTGCGCCTGCCCTGCCCCCTCAGTCAATCCCCCCTCCCCCCTTCTGCCCTTATCGACCACGGCGGAATAATAGATTCAGGTTGGCCTCAACGACGCGCGATAAATTTATGTGGCGTCGCGCTATTACATGTGGGTCGAGGGGGAGGGAAGGGGAGGGAGTGCCACGCTCCTCTTCCCCCTCCACACCACACACTGCATCGCCCCTTTTCCGATGCGTAGCGACCCGATCAGAAGTCTATTAATAGGACCCGGTGCAGCGTGCAGCCCTGGCCCGCCCCGCCCCGCCACGCCCGGACG